ATATTTCGAATATTATTTTCACAAGAATGGATATCTGCTGAATATTCCCAAAAGATACCATCACTAAAGTTTTTATAACGAATTTCTAGCTATTGTCTTATTAATAGCATTCTAAATGCTTAAATTTGCAATTTTGTGGACCACTCCGCTTGCAACACCTCGAAATATTTAGCTTGGACCCCATAAAGTAAATATGGACAATATTGAAATTTTTTAACATAGCTGAGGCCTTATATGAGTGTTTTGGAATAGTTATGGATTTGTTAATCTGTCGTTGCAAAATTTTCATGATATTGACTTAATGTAAAAAAATGGGTAAAACAGAGTAAGGTAATCCAAGTTTTTATGCTTTTTTCGATTTTTGACTAAGCAACTCGTTTCACAGCCTTCGCAATAAATTAAAAGTAGAAGCCTTCCCATATGTATCATTTTTCGAAAAATTATCTGTAACCACCTTTAAATGATGCCTACTTTTTGAAGCTCGATTTTTTTCGAATTTATCTTCTAGATTCAATTTTCAGATTTTTGTATTCGCGTATCTGAGTAATTTCATATATATATTTCGGGGTACGATTTTTGCACAGCTTCACAGCAAAGGTGAAACATTGGTATTTAATTGCGTTGTGGGTCATTTGAAATTCAACAATTAATCTGATACGAATTTTGACTTTTTGCGAAGACAGGACTTTAAAAACTTCAGCCAAAAGAGAGCTATACCCAATTTATCCCATAAATGGTGTGAATTACTACATCCATGGTTCTTGATGACCCGCATTGTAATAGATATAGATCGATGTGTTTTTCTGGGTGCACACAGAAATCGGATGCGCGTTATGGCGTATGGATTTTTTTTGGAAATTATTCGCCTTTTACGAGTTTTTGGGCACATAAATGCAACGTGTACTACATCTTAGCCATCAAATGAAATTTCGCAAAATTGACATGGATTGGAAGATTCCCTTCAGAACTTCCTGGAAACTGCATTGGACTCAAATGATTTTAAGAATTACGCGATTTCAAAATGGATTTCATGTTTATAGAACATCATGGAAAGGTCTTATTGTGTACAAGTGACACAAGAAGTTTTTATAATAAAATATAAAGATCCCGAAATTTTTAAAATTTAACAATATAAAATTGTCAGGTGTTGCCGACAATGCAGATTGTTCGTTCGCATGATATTTCAAAACTAATTTTCTGCAAATGTTGTCTGGTAGATTCCATGAAGAAGTGGACCGATATTCCCCAATATTGAAATTATATATTAATATTCAATAAATTTTGAAATATTATTTATTTCACAAGAAAGTATACGATTATACCTTTCATATGGCCCCACTTTAATTTAAATACCAACAATACGAACAATTATATATAAAACCAATAAATTTTGAAATATTATTTATTTCACAAGGGGCCGACCATATGATACCCTACACAACTTTAATTTTAATACAAAATCTAACTTTTATGGTTCTATATTCAAGCTGAGGTATGTAATGTTTATAAACCCGTCGTCAGCGCCATCTGTTGATGGCATGATGTCAACAAATATTTGCATATTCAAAACATCAGTTTCTCTTTATTTTCGGTTATAACTGTGATGTTGAGCTTTCAATTGTGGCTTGTAGATCGACTTGGAAAAACCACTAAAAGTTAAGTTTTCGGTCCTCTTCATTCCAACATTATTATTATTGTCCTTGACCATAACTAGAACCTCAAGGAACATATCAAAGCGATCAGCGCTATATTTCCCCCTACATAACTGGGTTACTAAATAATATCTTTCTGCGGATTTTTATTTCACCCGTAAATATTTACGTGTAACACCCGCATCCGAGTACATACGACAATATAATTGGCATCAATTTAAAGGTCAACAACTCCTTTTGGATATACTATCAACTTCTCGGCTCTATGTCCTTCACGAGTAAATATATACGCTATAGAATACAAATTTTGTAATTTTTCACACAAAAGTCAATGTCCATTTGACCCGCCAAATATTGACAGATCTTTATCAAAACATGCATACTTATTCTTTGGCCCGAATGCCTTCTCCATGTAAAATTTCACGATGTTCGGATCATAATTGCGGCCTCTGGAGCGACCAGAAAAATCGACAAAACTTTATTATTTGGTCCATTTCATCCCCTAAATATTAAGCGATCTTTACCAAAAACAATAGGGGTCTTCATTGGGCCGAACCCATAATGGACAGACGGACGGACGGACACACATGTCTAGATCGACTCAGCTAGTCGAGATATGACGATCGGTATGCTTAAAGGTGGGTCTAGGACCAATATTTCGCGGCGTTACAAACTCTTGGGGCTGCACAAAGCGATAATACCCTGACAACATAGTTGTGTAGGGTATAACAAATGAGGTATGTAATGTTTATAAACCCCGTCGTCAGCGCCATCTGTTGATGCCATGATGCATGGCATCATTTGCATGATTCAAATCATCGGTTTTTAACCCCATCTTTTCAAGGTTATAACTTTTGAACAGATAATCGCATGTCGGCGATACTGATGTCATATGAAAGTGAAAAAATATTTAATCAAGCTCAAAATGTACATATGTATACCGTTCACATGACATCAGTTTAATTTAAATATCTACAGTTGGTCAAAAGTTATAGAAAAAACAAACGAAGCTTAAATTTTGCAGAATCGATTTTTGAATATATCCATTCAATAGGGACACTGACGACATGTCTTTGCAAATCATCGGTATTTTAGTTTCTTCATAACTTTTGAATGCGTAACGATAAAGAAACAAAACAATGTATAAGATGAGGTTCCAGAGGCTGTGGAACGATGCATTCCATCTTCGAAATTGATTTAAATTTTAAAGAAATATTACAATGTGGAAATTTTGAATGAAATCGATTACTCCCTTCGAGAGTTATTGTGTGCACCAGCCTACCAGACGGACGGACATTTGTAAATCGAGTGTGGGGTATAAAACCAATATTTCGATGAGACACATTTTTGTCGCAAAGCAAAGTTTATATACCCTCATTGGCCATAAGTCTGAGGGTATATAAACATCAATAATCTGCATTCGGATCTGAAATCAATTATATATACATTATGGGGTCTCAGATGAATGTGATAAATGTATTATACACCCTATATATAAGGTGGAGGTTATAAAAAGATGCAAATGTACCCGGTTATTGACCGGTAGGTTTAAAATAAAATCAAGACATTTTTGTTTATTTGTTCATGAGAATCAGTTCTTTATTATTTTTTTGTCGTTTCCAATTTTTTTTTCTGTTAACAAAATTAATTTTAAACATAAAAAATCTAAAGTGAATATAAACTAAAATAATAATAATAATAATAATTTGGTAGAAAATACACACATATAAATTATGTACATACGTATTTATCTAAAATTACCAAGAGACATGGAAAAATGCTACTGCAGCCATTAAATCCCCCTTTAAATCAGGAGGTTGGCCATTGTGGATTTCAATAGGCGGTCACATCGAATGATGATTGATTGAGAACAATAGAAGGTTACGTAAACACAGTATGCGTAATAACTCTTAGTATGCGTAATACATAATTTATTTATTGCAGGAACCAAAAACAGAAATTTGGGAGACAATTTAGAGAATTAAATAGCTCATAGGTAAAATTATGGTACAGTAGATATCGGATATAAAAAACTCAAAAAAGCCGGAGATTTCTTTCTTATGTGCGTTTTTTTCTTATATGGAATTATCGGATATAAGAAAGTATAAGTTCGGTGTTTTTGATAATCTTTCTTATATGCGATTTTTTTCTTATATGAGATGTGCTTATATCCGATATTTATTTTTTAGCAATTTTGACCTATTAATACAACATCGATAGATGGATATAATTATACAGCACTCTTTTAATGGCGCCCAATCGTTAGTTTCAAGATTGTAGTATGCGAAACGTCGTAATTTGTTTCTATTAATTTTATGATTGAAGTACAACAGTTACGACGCTCTAAAAACCGCGATATACCATTGAAAGAAAAATAAATCTTCCATGTCTCTTCGAAGCTAACTTAAAGTTTGATCTGCTTAAAACAAAAAATAAAAACAATTATTAACTAAAAAAAATTTAAATAAATATTTATATAAGTAGTTTAATAAAAGTAGAAAATAAAATACTTCAATTTGAAAATTAATATTCGAGCTGCTTGATTCATGTTTATGCGCATGTGCGTCTGCCTACATCCATGCTTGAGTGATAAATGCAAATATTTCGATTACATTTTCGAAATGCTTTAAAATTTCGTGTTGTTTTTTGTTTTATTCGTTCGTTACAATCTACAATCTTAAAACTTAGAATAAGTATATTACAAAAAAAAGTTTCAAATTAAATTCATCGTTTTTTATATAATTATATAGTTTAAATTAAATATATTCCTTTGTTTTGTATTATCCTAAAATTATTATTTGAAGTTTTATTTGTTTTTCAATAAATACATTGTTCTTGGGGTGTAGGGAAGGGGGGACTGGTCTTATTTTCGATAATGTTGCTTAAAATTACAATTAAGTCTAGTCTTAGTTATTATGGAATTATATTTCAATATTAATATTTTTATTTCTGCGTTTTTTTTCTCTTTCAATATTTATCAAGAAATATAACATTTTGTTCTCTCTGTCACAATATTTTAGGGCTTTTTTCAAAACTTATTAACTAGGGCAATATTTCGTTTTTGTTAAATAAATATTTTTTTTATTTCTTATCATAGGGATGTTGTTCTTGTTTCTTATATTTGTTTTTTACTTAAAATAATTAAATTAAAAAAATTTATTGTGAGTGTGAGTTTTTATAAGCTAATTTTTAAATTTAAGCTTTTCGGTTGATATACTTAAATAAAATTAATAAATTTCATATATTCAAATTTTGTTTTTTGTGTGAGTACATTTACATTCTAAATTCTGAAAAATTATATAAAATAACCTAAAAAAATAAATCTCCTTGGGGAGTGGCAAAAAGTATCTATTTACACGTATGCTCTTCAATAACTTTCACACATACATCACATTTCACTTGACAACACCAATGGAACTTGCAATTGCATCGTTCCCGCACCACAATATTTTTGGTATTATAACCTCGACCACAGCACAGAATACCACAGCCATCCAGGCCATTCGATGTCTTGTTACAAACACGGCCATGTGTTCCTTTGGAAAGAGAAGAGAGAAAAAACAACACAAATTAATAAGTTTTTCCAAAAAGAGATTTCCGAAAAAAATAAGATACACTTACCCGGCCATTGTAGCTGTTTGTTACTTCGACACCAATCGGGACTTTCATCCAAATACACCAAATCATGGGCTGTGGGTACTTTAAATTGTGGATCCTTAACTTGTAAACGTCCACGTTTATTTAATTTCACCTCTGTGGATTCTTCGTATTTCTCGCGCAGATAATCACCTGGAATGGTAAGAAGGGAAATGGTGGAATTAGCATAAAGTCGATAAAATAATAACAAAGTTCTTAAATATTCAGCAAAGACAGTAACCACATATGGTTCGCAATACGCCCTAAAGTATGCTTCAAGCTTTCGAAAGGTATACAATTAAAATCATGTCTTAACAGTGACCAAAGACATAGAAACCGTAAAGACTCGACAAAATGCATTTTGGCAAAATAGTTTATGAAAAAATATCCAGGGGGAATCAAGGTTAACAGAGGCATGTTAAGAATAAAAACGCCAATACGCGAAAATGTCTGAATAAAATGTAAATAAAATTAGAGGCCTGCACTCAAAATATGTATTTTCATTTTATAAGCTTAAGATATAGCATTAAAAACGTTTAACATTGTTCTCTCTGTTGTTATGATATCGTAACAATAGAGGAAAAGCCATCTGTTGGAAATTCCTTACGTATCAATTGTCCTATCTTTATACTTTTATGTCTTTGCAGTGACTCGAATAAAGTCGATAATGCCGTCTGTAAAATGTTGTTGCCATATTTTGGTGTTTATCCTTAATCAAAATCCTGCAATGTTTGAAATTTTTGTCTATTTGTCCCATTTATATTTTGTTGAGGGAAAAACATGTCTATGGATCGGGTTATGCCATTAAAATTGATATACGACATTCAAGGGACCTGCGAAAATAGTCGCTATAAGCGATATGTCGTTATAAACGATATCGCACAAATGACAGAACTTTTCTCAGGACAAAAACAGATGCATTGATTTTGATATAATATTGATTTTTATATATATATTATTGATTTTCAAAGAAATTATTTTTTTAAGTAAAAACAGACTGGATTATGTTAAATTTGGAATTATTTTCTAGGAACCATAAATGAGAATATTAGCAAGCATGGATTTGCTAAAGAATATTTTTTGGAGACTAACAAATGGTGTGGATTTTACAGAATATTTTTTTCTGGAGCTGGATTATTTAGAAACTATACGAGAATTAAAAGAAGGGTTCATTTTGGAACAGAAACCTATATTTTTCAACAAAGTACTTCATATAAAAAACGAGGATTTTGAAATATGTACTGTTGTTTTCCATAAGCGGGACTTAAAAAGAATATATTTTTTCCAAAAACTACCAATAATCCAGGATTAAAAAAATCATAGCCGGCAATACAAATTAATTTTTAAAGAATATTTTTAGTGACTAAAAGGAAGAGTGGTTTTTAAAGAATATTTTTCAGGACTAGCTATGAACACTTTAAACTAGTAATAAATGACGATTTTTTAATATTTAACTTTAAGGCACTAATAAGCATGAATTTTAATGAATAGTTTTTTAGGGACTAGTAATAAGCTAGTATGTTTAAAGAATATTTTTAAGCTTATATTTTAAAAGAGATATTTTTTTAGGAATTACCAGAGTCATCAATGAGCATTCTTAAAGACTATTTTTTCTAGAAATTACCATGAGAATTTCTAAGAATATTTTTTAAGAGCAATAAGTGTCGAGTTTTAAAGAATATTTTTTCAGGGTTTAAGAGAGCAGCATACTTGGAATATTTTTTAAAAGTCTATGGATTTTAAAACAATATTTTTCTAGGAATTATCAGAGCCATCTTTCACAGCACCTAGTATATATTTTTAATGACTATTTTTCAAGGAATCAACAGATCAATCAGAGTTCTTAAAAACAATATTTTTTAAGGAACTATAAGTGCAATCCCGGTACTATCAGTTCAATAAAAGCTGGGATTTAAAACCTTTAAGGAACTATTAATTGAGGTAAAGATGGATTTTTTAACAAAAATGATCGTGGGTTTTGGAAAAATATGTCTTAGGGTCTATCAAGAAATATCTTTGTATTTTTTATTACAGAAGATCCAGTCTTATTGTCATTTTATTTAAAATAGCAATTTACCAGTACAAGGACTGTCAAATAAAAATTTTTTTTAACTGTACGATTTTTTTATTCGAATTTGTCTTATTTCACATTTACTTTTTTTCAACATCGATTTTATATAGACTCTGTGTTAGAAAGACAAAAACATGTTTTTGCCTAAATATTCTAAATATCTTCACTATGGATATCTGCCAGCGAACTGAAAACCTTCTGATATAGAATTTCAATTCCTACTCGCCGCATTTAAATGGACTCTAAGATCTCTCTTTGTGTTAACAATGTCCATATAAAGATTTTGTATACTCTACACCGTAAGGTGAAGTGTATATTAAGCTTGTCATTACGTTTCAACAAATCGAAATATTCACCTGAAACGATGACGTTTCAGTCATATTCGTCTATCTGTTGAAATCTCGATCGATCTCACAATATTTAGGATAGAGCTATGATATTATGCGGATACATTGTTACTATTCCTAGGATGTTTGGTATGGGATATATATGTATATACATTTTTTAGGCTAGCCCTCATTTAAGGGTAGCCAATTATTCGGTATTTTCAAAGTAATCAATTGCTTTCCCTCCATTCTCTTCTAAAAATATCAATATTGCTCGATGTTTCAGGGTAGACCCCATATAGTTCCAGCCCCAATATCCAAATATTTTAAAGTTTAATAATTAACTTTAATTTTGTATTTTGGGTTCTCACTCCGTTAATTTAAAACATAAAGCATTCCCATATCACCCTACTATCGTAGGATCCCGTACGAAATGGAACACGGGTGCGAAATGTATAATACACAATGGAAAGAAAAATACAGTAGACCACGGATATAAGAAGAATGTGGTTTATTATATAAAATACATTCATATAAGAAAAAACCCGCTTATAAGAACAAATTTCTCGGTTTTTTTGTGTTCTTATATCCGTGGTCTACTGTAAATAGTAAATGTTTGCAGATTCTGCACTTGCAGGAATAACCCTACTAGTTAAATTTACTCATTATGGTTCATGAAATAAATATGACGATGGATGCCATATTACAAATATTCGCTTTAGTTGTGCACCCATCGGTTATTATCTACAATGTAAATGTATTTACTCTGTTATCGACTTAATGTAACATAAAATCGTATTGTACGATAAAAGTTGTACTACCAGCTATTTATCGTAGTTATACGTACCCATACCAAAGACATAGAAACCGTAAAGACTCGACAAAATGCATTTTGACAAAATAGTTTATGAAAAATATCCAGGGGGAGTCAGGCATAACAGAGGCATGTTAACAATAAAAACGCAAATACGCGATAATGTGTGTATAAAATGTAAATAAAATTAGAGATCTGTACTCAAAAAATATGTTTTTATTTTATAAAATATAGCGTTTAAAACGTTTAATATTGTTTGCTCTGTTGTTATGATATCGTAACAACAGAGGAAAAGCCATCTGTTGGAAATTGTTTTCGTATCTATTGTCGTATCTTTATACTTTTATGTCTTTGCCCATACTAACTTTAACCAAGACATACACCAAACACGTTAAGTGGTGGTCGATAATACTGTGATGCCTCATGAAATGTTAATTTCCAGTGGCAAATGTGTTATACTGTTATGTATAACAGAGGTCTTCAAAAAATGTTATTTCAAAAAACATTTTGATTTTGAAATCATAAGGCATTTTGACCTTACTGGAGATTCTGTAAGCGAATCAAAAATATGTATATCTAACTATTAATCTGTCTTGGTCTTAATTACTTCTTGAGATCATAAACATTTGTATAGAGTTATGTGGCAAATTTCCTCTATTAATTTAAATATAATTGGAAGTCATCTGGTAATTTTTACTTTGCTCTGTTCCACAAAACAAATCGTTGTAAACATGCCTAGCTCGTTTCAATTAGAGATCCTTGTACACAATTCACTCTATTTTTTATCCCTATTCCTTACAATCTTTTTTTCATGCCATTAAAATGAATAATCTCTCAAAATATCCCTTCTTAATTGTCATCATTTACATATTTCTTATAATTGACATTGTCCTTCCAGTGATATATTCATAATTTGATATCTTCTTGCCCTCATCTTTAACAAAAAAAAGATGCAAATCTATGTGGGTCAGTTAACTTTTTGTGTCAGCTTCGGCAGCAGCATCAAACAAACTGCAGTAGCATAAAATTGCAATCTCAATACCGATTATCATTACATTGCTGTATAATTTAATGGTTCGTTGCCTTGCTGGCACACTGACTCACTCACTTGCACACACACACAGTGAAAACCGCAAAAACTTACCAATTTCTCTTATCGATGACAACTGTTGCCAACAGGTTATCAAACTACATGAACCGGAAACGCCATGACATTTACATGTTATGCGAGTCTTCTTAATAACTGCCTGAAAAGAGAGAGAGAGGGAAAAAGTCAATATTAAATTAAATTTATGTGAATAATTTAGAGTAAAAGAAAAAAACTGTATTCAATGTGAAATATAAGAAATGAGAAATCAACGAAAGTTTCTTTTTGCTAACGATGCATCAGCTTTGTTTTTTTAGAACGATGAAATCCATAGCTTTGAGTATTATGAAAGAAAATTTATGGGTATGCAAAATTTTGTTGATGCATTAGAATCTCCAAAAAAAGTAGATGACGTTGGTTCCTTTCGATTTTTATTGTTCCTTTTTTCGAAGAAATTTGAAAATTTTGAAATGTTGGAAAAAAGGAAAAAAAAACTAAGCAAATGCAGTCATTCCATTTATGACACTTTAATGGGATTTGAACTTCTTTTAGTTTTTCTTGAGTCATACATACCAGAAAAAAGGGTGTTGATAAAAGGATAGAAAACATTTTTATATGAAAAATAATAATAATAACCAGTGAGCGGAGCAGTATAGTCGGACGGGCCGACCATATGATACCCTACACAACTTCCACGAAAGTCGAACGTTATGTGGTTCTATATTCTGAGCTTGGGCAATATTTCGCGATATTTGCACCCTCTTGACCGGCTAGAGGTCAACAAATATTACTAATATTCACTACAGCCCTTCTAATTACTTGTCCAGATTCCCTTGGCCGTGGGTTGTGTTGTGATGTTCGGCTTTCAATTGTGGCCTATAGATCGGCTAGAAAAAACACAAAAAATAAGTTTTCAGTCCACTTCATCCCAATTTTATAATCTGATCATCACCGAAAGTTGTAGACGTTGTTCTTGACCATAACTGGAACTTCATGAAACATTTCAAATCGATCAGCGCTATATTTCCGCCCTCTAGTGTGGTAATGGGTTACTAATTAATATATGAATACGTAAGCACCTGTAAATATTTAAATGCAACTCCTACATCGGAGTACATACGACAATATAATTGGTAACCAGTGAGCGAGCAGTAGGCGGGGCAACTACCACGGAACTCATTTTCTGCGGATGTTTATTCCAAGAAATATATATTGCCCGATAGAGGTAAACAGCACCTCTTCCTCACACTTATTTTCCGAATATTACGGTATTCAGTACAGCTATTGTCCAGATTCCCTTCACCGTAGGTTGCGTGATGTTCGGCTTATAGTTGTGGCTTATAGATAGACTCGAAATAGGACAAAAAATTAAGTTTTCGGTCCACTTCATCACAAAATTTTTATCTGATCATCACCGAAATAATAGGCTTTGTCCTTGACCATAACAGGAACCTCATGGAACATTTCAAAGCGATCAGCGCTATAGTTCCGCTCTCCAGAGTGATAATGGGTTACTAAATAATATACGAGTACGGAGATACGTGTAAATATTTAGGTGTAACTCCCACATCCGAGCACATACAACAATATAATTGGTCTTAACTTAAAGGTCAACCACTCCTCTTGGATATAATATCAACTTCTCGGGTATATGTCCTTCAGGGGTAAATATATACGCCATAGAATACAAATTTTGTCATTTTTCACACAAAAGTCAGGGTCCATTTGAACCGCTAAGTATTGACCGATCTTTCTCCAAACAGGCATGCTTATTCTTTGGCCCGATCCGCTTCTCCATGCAAAATTTCACGATGTTCGGACCATTGTTGCGACCTCTTGAGCGAACAGAAAAACCGACAAAAATTTAGTATTTGGTCCATTTCATCCCCTAAATATTAACCGATCTTTACCAAAAACAATAGGGGTCGTAATTGGCCAGAACCCATCCTCCATGATAAATTTCGTGAAGATTGGCTCATAACTGTGGCCTGTATCGTGTTTACGAATTATAATGGACAGACGGTCGGACACACATGTCTAGATCGACTCAGCTAGTCGATATATGACAATCGGTATACTTAAAGATGGGTCTAGGACCAATATTTCGTGTCATTACAAACTCTTGGGGCTGCACAAAGCTTTAATACTCTGACAATAATAAGAACCAATAAAGAAGGGACAAAAGTCATACGGGGTCTACGATATGACACCCTGTCTATCGGACAGGCGTTACATCTTTTGATGACCATCGTGCAAAATTCAATAAGTCATATTTTATACAGGAACACGACATAAATATATCCACCCACTTAAGATTCTGTAATATATGCAAAATTCACATGCCAATCGGCCTGTCTTGAGCTATTTGGTTTACCATTTGAAAGAAATCGGTCTAAAGTTATGTGTGAAAGTTTAAAATTTGGGCGATTTTCAAACGGCTGGAAAATAAATTTGCATTTGATTGCAAATCGTGTTAATGGAACAACCAGTCGGTATTTTGTGCACCATTTGCATTAAATCGCCCGAATATATATAAGGGAGCTATATCAAAATCTATACCGATTTTTACGAAACTTAGCATATGTAATTCTAGACTCAATTCGGAACGCGGTGCAAAATTTCGTCACAATCGGAGAAAAGTTAGGCATTTGGGGTACCATTCAAATCAAATCAGTTGAAAATATTATATGGAAGCTATATCGAAATCTGAACCGATTATTAGAGGCTCAATTCAACGGATGGTGACTGGAGATGAGAAATGGATCACATACGATAACGCTTTGCGAAAACGGTGAAGCATCTCAAACGGTGGCCAAACCAGGACTTACGACCATGATGGTTCTGCTATGCATTTGGTGGGACTGGAAGTGGATTATTTATTACGAGTTGCTTCCATATGGCCAAACGCTAAATTCTGATCTCTATTGTCAATAACTGGACCATTTGAAGATATCAATTGATCAGAATTGGCCAACAGGAGAGGCGTCATGTTTCACCAGGAACTTGCATTGCAAAATTTCTTTAATGATGAACAATTTGTATCTAGAGAGGATTGTGAAAATCGACTACTAGAGTTTTTTGCAAATAGAGAGCAGGACTTCTATGAGAGAGGCATTATGAAGTTACCTTTAAAATGACAACAAAACGACGACTATCCGAAGCATGTTAAATGAAGTCCTATAGTTCATATAAAAATAATGGATTTCTTTTTTCCCAACCTATTATATAAGGAAGTTATATCAAAATCTGAACCGATTTTTACAAAACTTATTCATGAACTCCCATATATAAGATATATGGGAGCTTTATCTTAATTTGTCGTCGCAATCGGAAAAAAGTATATATTAGAGTCAGCGTTGCAGCCAGAGGGTATCGGAGCTTCGTAATGGTTTTAAAATCAAATATCATTCCAATAAAATTTTAAATCAGTAACCTTGCCTTTCCTATATCACTATGACCATTTACAGCTGGTACCGAATATTCCCCCTCCCCACTATCCTCTTTGTCAAATCAACACAAAGTTTATATATGAATTCGAGAAATTCTCTCGCCCAGGACAAAAAGTATTAAACTGCAATAAATGCGAAAGAAAATTGCATTCAAACAATACTGATTTCATTTTCAAAACTGTGTGATAGTTTTATCAATGGTGTCTTCTTCTGCTTTTATACTTTTTGGGTTTTTTCTTCTATACATTAAACTATCGTCGTCTCGCTTGTAAGCGTTTTGCGACAAATGTCAAAGAAATATGAAATCCTTGGAAAATTTATGATTTTTTTGCAATTTCTTATTTGCTATTGTTGTTGTTGCTGCTACTCAGACATGCATTCCCAAAGACGACGCAAAAAAAGGAAAGAAACGCATACGAATCTCTATGCATTTTTCTTAGACAATATGCATGGCATTTGTAAAACTTCATTGCCATACCATTCTGGGCCGAGGGGTAACAGAAAGTGGTGATTTTTTTCACTTCAACATTGACTACGACTTTTTTCTATTTGTTTGAAACAAATAATCGGCAGAAAAAGTAGAGTAGAAAATGCATCGAAAAGACATTGTCAGGGTTGAATGGTTGGAAAATAGCTAAGAAATGGCACAAAAAAGCAAAAAAAAAAAAAAAAATGTGAACAGAGAAGAGACCAAATAAAATGTGGCCAAAAATGCGAAACGAATTTTTATATGGATTTTATTTTTATTTCATTTTTTTTCGATTTGTTTTTCCTTATAAAGAAAATGTTACAGTTACAGATGGTTACAATGGTGGGAAGGAAGGACGGATGGAGGAACAAGATTTTCGACTAAGGAGACAAAAGAATATTTCTATTTCCGTTGGAATTGGGGAACCATATTTGGCTGGAGTGGTTGCATATAGCTACGTGATTGTCTCAATGTATGTGTATATACGTGAGTATGCTTGTATTTTTATGGAACAAATATTTAGTACTCTTGAGCTTGGTGGGCCAAAAAAAAGGGTAGACATGTTAAACTTTATTCATTCACTTAAAGACACACACACATACAAACGCAGATTTGTTCGTTACTTGTATATACCCAGCAAACAAAATTACAGATATCATAAAGAACTTCATTCAAAAGTTGAGAACAAATGTCGATTCAATATTCAGAAAGAAAAAATCAAAAAAAAAAAAAAAAAAAACAGTAAGTCGGACTGGGCCGACTATATGATACCCTTAACCACTTGGGGTGTATTCTACATTGGCATGATATTTAAGGAATCTCAACCAATTTCCACGAAACTTATCATTCCAGACTAAATTCAGTAAGATATGCAAAATTTCGTGCAAGCCGAAAGAAAGGTGAAATTATATACGTGTGCAACATCTAAAGTCGAACTCTTCTTTTAAAGAAGTTCGTTAGTATACAAATCGGATGTGTTACATAGGAAGAGAGCCTGTATGTCTTATACTACATATTTTCAAAGCCAAAAAAATTGATTGATATTTGACTTAGATCCTGATAAATAGGGAATCTGCTGTAAAACATTGCAAGTCATTCATTTATGTGCGAATTCGGATGGATAGATAGCAAAAAATTTCATCGGATTTTGTTAAAATGGTTGATAGGAAATCTTAAAATTTTGTTCCGTATTTTGTTCTTTTTTTGTTCTCTTCTTGTTTTGTTTGCTGGGTATAACAGCTT